CGCGGTGTCTCCAGGGCAGGGTGTGCGGTGTGTGAGCCCCGCTCAGGCTTCAGGGAGGTGAAATCCGCGCCCTGCGGGAGAGGAGCCGTGAGGGGTCCCAGCCCCGCCAGCCCGGGTACCGCCGCGTCTGGTGGGAGCGGGAGCCACCGGCACTACTGCCCGGAGGGGCACAGCCGCAGCGCCGGGGCCAAACAAACGGGTATGAGTGCAGGAGCCTGGAGCTGCTGGCGCGGGGAGTCCCGCAAGGGCCGCAGCGCAAATCCTGGGCGTGCGGGTCCCGCACAGCGGCACGGCCCTGGCCTCGCACCGCTGCTGCTTGGCAGCTTGGCTCTGCCCGGCCCGGCCCTCCGCCTGCCCCACTTCCCTTACCGGGGAGGCTTCAGACTGTCGGGTGTTCCGCTTTTCTTGTGCCTGTGCATTTCTTCAGTACGGGGGTAGTTGGCAGAGGTTCGGGGCCGGGCGGTGTGAGCTGCCCCGTGCCGCCTTGCACAGCCCTCTCGGCCCCTCCTCCCTTGGTCCTCGTTTCTTCAAGCAGAGCCCAAGCATGAGCAGGTTCAGAGAGCTGACCTGCTACAATCTAGTGAGCAGGATTAAGATTTTGGGATGGATCAGAAGGACAAGGCGCTCACTTACGCAGTCAGCGTGCCAAGGAACTTGTGCGCCAGGCGGGAATTTGCAGCCAGAGCTCAGGTGGGAAGGGGAGTGTGGCAGCAGCTGAGATGAGATAGGGGTTGCCTGGATTCCAGCACATTCAGTGCTGGGCCAGCAGGTCTGGAACTGCAGTGGGAACCAGAGTAAGATCTATGGGGAGGCTCAGAACCCCTCAGAGACGTCTGGGGAACAGAAGCCACAGTGTACTGGGAATGCAGAAGCATGGTTTGTCATCTTTGCTGTCAGGTCTTCACTTTGGCAGTGTGTGTTTGTGTGACCAAAGAGGTGACCAAGGGTGATGGTGTGTGAGGCAGAGAGCCTGTCTGGGTTCACCCAGGCTGCAGCTGAGGTTTTGGCAGGCAGGAAAGGAGAAACTGGGATGAGACTTGGGAAGAGTGTGACTTGGCTTTTGCAGTGCATTAGCAGTACCCGGTGACAAGGAGTCAGTAGCTTTAAAATAGCTTCTCACGGCAATAGAATTATGCTGTATTCTTCCATGTTCCTTAATTCTAAAAAGTTCTCATACTGTTGTTTCACAATTTGTGTTATTTCTCAGTCTGGTGGTCTAGCAGTCTGGAAATGTTTGTGTCCCTGGCTGGGCAGGACAGTCTCTGGCATAGAGATGGGCACCGCTGGCCCCTGTGCTGGGCACTCCTGTGCCACGCTGGCCATGGCCCTGGAGCTGGCGCGGAGCAAGTGGAGCTGCTGCCAGCTGGCAGGGGATGAGGGAGCTCCAGGCAGCTCTAGTTTCCACCCCAGGCTGGGGCTGGGCAGGGTCTGCTGGAGGTAGCCGGTTCCTAGGCAGCTTCTGTCTCCTCTCCTGCAGCTCAACGAGACAGGCAGCCCAGTCAGGTTTCCCTCTGCACTCCTTACTGGGATGGAAAAAGGTGATCCATAACATCTGAATGTTTCAAAATACTCTTTTTGAAAATAGTAAATTATTCAGTATGAGAAGGCACCGATACAGCCAGCTACAAAGCAGCCATACACGAAGTTCCTAACTCTGAACTTCCTACTGTAGTGCAGAATGAGTGGGAATGGGCTGCCATTTGGATTACAGGGTCAGGTCGCACCTCCAGCGAACTCCTGTGATTGTATCAAACTGTTAGATTGCATTTTCTTTAAAGCTGTGCTGTGCAGCAGTTTGTTGTTGCTGCTGTTTGACCACATTAATGTTATTTTTATTCAGCAGAAAATTGTCTGGCTCAGTGTGATAATGACTGCAAAGCTTACTGCTGTGATGGGACTACTCCCTACTGCTGTTCGTATTATGCCTACATTGGGAACGTCCTTTCGTAAGTTTATTTCATGTGCTGTGTTTGTGGCCTTGATGTGAAATTTGGTTGTGGGAAACTGTTTTGGCAATAAACAGCAGCAGGGTTTGGGGTTTTTTGTTTTTGGTTTTTGCTTGCTGGTATCAAACATTGGTATTCCTCTGAAGTGTCATGTTGAATATATTTTTAAAGCTTGCTAAAATTGAGGGTTTTATCCTTAGTTTGTGTATTATGATATAATTTGTGGATGTAAACTTAAAGGTGGTGAGAACTTTGTTTCAAGCTCTTCATATGAAAAGGACTATGAATAGAAATCTTGTGGTTTTTCTTGAAATGCTTTGTTACAATACTTGGGTCAAAGGTTCTTTTTGCTTTGAGTCCTTTTTTTTCTTTTTATTGATTTATTTGTTTTTGTCAAATGATGTTTTGGCTTTTGGTAGAATTTATTGAACAGATTCTAGGTGGGAGTAATCTGACCCTTTAACAATGCAGTAAGAATAGCATGGTTCACAGTGCTGGTAAAAAACACAACAGGTGAAATGGGATGTGTATTAATATTTTCTATCTAGAGAAAAATAGAGAAGTAAACTGTTGATTAAAAACATAGGCTTCCCTGCAGCTGTTAGCTCTGCATCAGTGAGGAAGAAGAGAAGCCTGCACACTAGTGGACCTGACTCTGGGCTCTGCACTAAGTTTAAGTGATAACACATAAGTATTAAAATTCATGTGCAAGGACAAACCTAAACAAAACATAAAATATTGTTCTTCAATATAGGACATCTTACCTTCTGTTTTGTTATCCCCATCAGTAATTTCCTGAACCTTCAGTGTGCAGTCTATGGCTTTTTTTTGGTTTGTATTCTTGACTAAAACCAGAAAAGGAAGAAGGTACATCATAGGACTGCTTGGTACCTGGGGAGGAATGAGTGGAAAGGTGGTAGTTGTTTTTTTCTAAAAATATTCCTCTGATACGGGTTTTGTTTGAGCCATGCTACCTGGGAAACATAGCAGTGTTCCCTTCAGTGTATTTTATAGCACTTTGGAGAAGTAGTCAGTGATGGTATTTTAATACAGAATTGATTCACAGTTTTTAAAGCAGGTCAGACACTTCCTGGGCTTAAAGTAAACAAAATTATGATAAAACACCAGAACCCTTCATTCCCCTGGAAATAAAAAACATGTACTTAAGATTGATTACTGTTGGAGAATGACAATTGTTTTTTTTCACTCCTGCTCACCTAGAGGGGTGAGCAGGGGGGGAAAATCTGCTCTGATTTTTTTTCTTTTCTTTTCTCCCTCTAGAATTGCTTTCCTATTTACATGTGTGGAAGGAGGTGCAGTTTTTTTTATAACTTGTTCCAGTTCATATGTGGTTAGGAATGATAGGAGACAATAGCATCTGATATCTCAGTATAAGAAGGATGCTTCCCATAGAGCAGCAAGACAAGTGGATTTCATGTCTCACTTCCACGTGAACGTAACTGGCATTTGTTTAGCCTAATGTCAGAGCTCTGCTTTGGAAAGGATTGACCAGGGAATTCTTTAAAGTGGCTGGTGGAATGTCTAAACCATGCCTTCAGTGCCAGGTTGACACCTAGTCTTTTTTATGTTTATTTAACAAATATAAACAGCTGTTGAAATAGAGCTGAATGTGAGTGCCTCTGCTACACTGGAAAGGTTTGTGCGTATCTGGATTGTTTTGAATATTGGAGGGGCTCTTACAAGTGCTGTCCACCACAAAGTGTCTTAAAGGCAGCATTTGATTCTTTTAATTTTTCATGGTTAAGTACTCAAATTCGTATAGTCCAAGTGCAGTCAGGAGTCGTTATACTCCTCTGACCTGATATTTTGCATGATTGAGCCATAGGTTGTTTTTGTCTTCTTTAAACACGTGTAATCTCATTTTGAAAACTTCAGGTATTAGTAAGTTGACCACCTGTCGACTGTTCTGTAGTTCATTTATTAACACTGCAGGGAAATTTTGTGGGGCAACAAGGGTTGAAATTCCTACTGTCAGCTCTTAGCTTATCTGCAAGTTTGAAATGTGTCCCTAAATACTCACCAGGACAGTCCCCAACCTTATCACTGAGCTGGGTGAACTCTGCCAGTATCACATGTAAGATTTGCTTTGTTTTCCTTTGCCCTGCCTAGGGGTCAATTCTTTGGACTTCCCTTGAACTCCCTCTCGTATTTTCCCTTCCTTCTTGAAGTGTGGCTACTAGGGCTGAGCACAGGGTTTTGACATAAGCCTTGCTAGGATTTTTTTTTCCTGTATCTTTTTTGGAGTACCTATTTTGAAGAAGCTATCTGTGATTATCAAAGAAGACATAAATGAACTTAGCAATTTGTTACAGCTGTAAGTCGCTAAGTCACGGTCTTCAAAGCATGTCTACTGCTTTAAGCCTACAAACTTGTTCTTTGCTAGGGTTAAATGCATTTAGTTGCATTGCAAAATATGCTATTGTGACTATAACTGTGCTCCGTAAGAATAGCCTTCCCTTTTCTTTATTTGGCTCTATATTGGCCTTTTTAAAATTATTTTTAATGTGCGAACTTTTCCCACAGAAGTTTCATGTTGCTTCACCCCCAAATAACAAACTGATTAAATTCTGCTATAGGAAGACACGATCCCTGGAACTTGGAAATGGCCACTAGCAACCTATCTGCTTATGTGTTTCTGTTAAAAGCTGTGTATTGAAATCTTTTAAAGAACTGTTTTTAATCCAAAAAAACTATGTGTCCTGATAATTCCACATAATGTTGTTGTTTAAATATCCTTTTTTTCCAGTGTCATAATTGTTGATCCTACTGGCTGAACCAAACAATGGACGTGTTCTGTGTGGGCACGTTCAGAAGTACCTTTTTAACTGTCTAAAAGGCCATCAGTACTCCTCAGTGTTGTATTGGCTCCTCTAGAGCTTGCCTGTGTTTGTTTGCCACTGATGTATCTGCTCTCTCCATTCTTTATAAATCTTCATGTCTTTCTGAAGTTTCTGCTCTTTATTTTCTCTGGGATGTTTGTTTGTTTGTTTTCACAAACATAATTCTCTCCTGCAGTTTTGGAAAAGCCTTTTGGCTGTTCAGTAGGTTCTTTTTAAGCAATTCTCTGTTTTTGTTTCACGCCTCTCTTCTCTTTCTAGACTCATATGCTAACAATTGGCAAACAGGCTATAAGCACCAGGCAATAATATATATACTGATTTTAAAGCAAAGTCAGTGTGGCTAGATCATGATCAGTGACAGTTAAGTTGCTTGTAGCTTTTAGGTGATTAATTAACTCTCTTCACTCATTATAATGAGATTCAACATTGAGATATTCCATGTAGAGTTTTAAGAATTTTCTATTTTAAGAAATCATTATCCTTTTAGGACACCAGGGAATTATTTTAGTCAGATGTGATTTTCAGCAAACATCCTCCAGGCTGTATGCATCTGTGATTAGCCTGTTTTTCTTTCTGCACATGAAAAACAGATGCAGAGTTATCGGCTCACTCTAAGATCAGGATTTCAGGGCCTGTAAGAGATGTTACAGTAACTCCATCTTTGGTTGGACTACAGGTATAATCTGTAAGCATTCAAGGTCTGTGATTGTGTCATTTGTAATTCCATGAGCATCTCTAAAGTAACACATTCTTCCTGCTCCTCCCCCCTTCATGAGCAAGTTGTTACAACGTTAATATTCCAGTTATATTTCCCTTCTTACTAGTTTTCAGTATCTACAGCCTGTCATTATTTCCTCTGATGCATATGCATTTCCTCCTGTTTATCTGCTTGAAGTCTAGTCCTTGATGGTTAACCCTTCTAAAAATGTTTTTTCTTGGACAAATTACAGATTTATGTTTGGACTTGTGCAACATAATAAAGCTGTGCCTGTGGGTTGAAGGAAAAGGTGCAGTGATGCTTGCATACTCAGACTGTTCTTCCTGCCCACTTTTGACTCCTGTCCAGAAGAAAGCTTGGAGGCACCCTTTGCAGCCTTCAGTATCATCCTAGTCCTTGTGAGTCAAGAGACTCCAACTGCCCTCCTCCTCAGAACCTTGCTTCTAAGCAATTGAATAATTTGTGACTGACCTTCTATCAGTTTCCGTGTGCTGCATCTGCTTCTGCAGCCTGCTGCCAGGCTAGGGACTGCAATGACTGCAGTGTGTTTTCTCCATGACAGATTCTCCAGGTTTGCCCACAACAACAGCATATCCCTGAGTAATCAACCAGTAGCATTTTGCTTTCTATCACTTGGGAAATTGGAGACATCTGGTTATTGCCTTCAGCTCCAGCCTCAAACCCCAGAGCTCCTCAGAGGTGGCAATCAGAATTAAAGGGATTTTTTCTGCAGAATCCAAATCTGAAAGTGTGTTTCTGACAGTGCTCTTTGTATTTTCTTCTGAGAGGCCTCAGATTGGCTGCCCCTCATGCTTATCCTAGTGGATTTTCTGTGGGCTAATTTCCAGTTTTGAGGTGTTGTGCCTTGTGTTTGTCATGGCCCACAGGCAACTTTTGAGCCATGGGGAGAATTCTGGGCAGGCATTTCAGTAGTCAAACACTGTTGGAGGTGGTTCTAGATGCTGCCTTTGCTCTTTCACATTACTTCATGGCCAGTAACTGTGAGCTGATGTGAAATAAACTCAGATTCCAGGTAAATAATGGAGCAAAGAGGACAAACAGTCCAGCTCTTCGGAGTACTGCTGGGCCAGCTGAATATTCAGCAGAAAACAAGATATTTACACTGAGATTTGGCCCACAGTATTAAAGAATACTCATTGATAAAATATTCAGCCCTGGTGATTGGGTCATAAGTCTTGAAGAGCAGTAAATTGGAATATTGGCTTAAGAAAAAGAAAGCTAAGATGCAGTGATGCTACATTAAATTGCAAAGTGTATGAAGTTTCTTGGCAAATGACTTCAGAATTACTTACTCAAAGGCAACTTTTATTTAGAAAAACAAAACAAACCAAAACATGTGATTCCAAGGACTTCAAAAGTAACCAGAGAAAAAGTAAATAAAGACTTTAGAAAACTGCCAT